TCAATGGGTTAGAGATATGGATAACTTCTTCGCCTGGTATGGGGTCCCAGAAGATTGGAGGGTACAATTTGCCAATTTGAAATTAACTGACACTGCTTAACTCTTTTCGAAAAGTGTTGAAGACCTTCTAGAAAGGCGTCATGCTCCCCTTGTTGGGAGCTGGGATGAAATGAAGTGTCGTCTTCAAGAAAAATATTTACCTAAATCTTATAGGGGTAACTTGCTGGATCAATGGAATGCACTTATGCAAGGCAATCAACCTGTGACTGAATACGTTGCTCAGTTTGATGAGTTTCGAATGAGATGTCAGGTCGTTGAGGATGAGGTCATGACCTTGAGTATGTTTAGGCAAGGCATAAGGGATGATCTTAGACGTGAGCTTGTCCTTAGACGTGTCACCACTCTTAACCACACCTACTCTTTCGTTCGGAATTACGAGTTAGTGACTAGGACACCTTATAGAACTTGTAGTGACACCTGCACTGCAACCTCTTCTGCATCCACTTCATCCCCTAAGTCTATTCTAGGACCACCTCCTTCTAATGCTACCCATGCATCGAATAGTAAAGGTAAATGTTCTGAGGTTTCAAGGGCGTCCTCCCATTTGCAATACTTCAATTGTAAGGGTTTTGGTCAAATTTCTTCTAAGCGTCCTAACCGAGCCCTAGTTATTGAAGAGCATGAATGTATAGTTGACGAGCCATTAGAGGACAAGGTTTATGAACCTAAGTTGGAAGAGTTTGATGACTTAGAGAATAGTGAAGATACCTTCTTAGGTTGTACTCAGGCTAGTCCCCTTATCCCAAATACGCCTAGAGTTGGTGTCGTTCATTGCACTCTTACCTAGCCTAGGGATGCTAATGATTGGCGTCGTCATGTCATCTTCCACACTTACATCAAGATCAATAAAAAGGGCTGTAAAGTTATCGTGGATAGTGGCTGCTGCATTAATGCGGTTTCGATGGCTACTGTATCCCGCCTAGGGTTGAAACTAGTTCCTCACCCTCAACCGTATAGCATCTCCTGGGTTGATACTTCTTCTTTAGTTGTCAAGGAGCGTTGTCTAGTCCATATCCGGTCCCTTGAGTATAAGGACCACATATGGTGTGACGTCATTTCAATGGATGTCGGGCACATCATCTTGGGACGATCTTGGTTATTTGACCTAGATGTAACCATCTATGGTCGATTCAATTCCTGCTCTTTTGTATTTAATGGAAAGAAGATTTACCTTAACCCACTGTCCCCAAAACTTGTTGGCTCACTCGAAACAAAGAAAAGTGTGGAACGAAAGGGATTGCATATCATTAGTCCTACGAAGTTTGAGTGTACACTTGTTGGTGACTTAATTGTGTTCGCTTTGGTTGTTATGGAGGTTTCATCTAACTCCACAACATAGAGCCCTGCTGAAGTTCAGTTGTTCTTTCAAGAGTTTGAGATGTCTTCCCAGATGACCTATTTAATCATCTACCTCTTCTACGAAACATTCAACATGCCATAGATTTTATCCTGGGGGCGTCCCTTCCAAATTTGCTTCATTATAGGATAAATCCTACAGAGCATGCTGAACTCCAGAGGCAAGTAGAAGAACTCATTCACAAATGATTCATTCGTGAGTGTTTAAGCCCGTGTGTGGTCCCCGCCCTATTAACTCCTAAAAAGGGTAGATGTTGGAGAATGTGTGTGGATAGTCGTGCTATCAATAGAATCACGGTGAAGTATTGTTTTCTCATTCCTAGGCTTGACGATATGTTTGATATGATGGTTGGTGCTACAATCTTTTCGAAGATTGATTTGAAGAGTGGATACCATTATATTAGAATCCGCCCCGGTGATGAGTGGAAGACCGCCTTTAAAATGAAAGATGATCTTTATAAATGGCTGGTCAAGCCTTTTGAGTTAAGCAACGCTCCGAGTACATTTATGCGGGTAATGACACAAACCCTTCGACCTTTCATGGGTAATTTTCTCGCTGTCTACTTTGATGATATTCTCATCTATAGTAAGACTAAGGAGTAACACCGTGACCATCCCGCACAAGTTTTTTCTACTCTACGTGCAACTAGTCTGTATGCTAACGTCAAGAAGTGTTCTTTCTTCGTTTTCCTAGTATTCATTGTCTCTTTGATAGGGGTATTTGCTGACCCTGCTAAGGTTCAGGCGATTCTTGACTGGCCTGAACCTAAGACTATTCATGGCGTCAGGAGCTTTCATGGCTTAGCTACATTTTGCTGTGGCTAAGATCGTTAGTACATGTAACACTTGTCAATTGGCCAAACAGAAGAGGTAAAACATAGGCCTATACACTTCTCTTCCCATCTCCAATTGCTTTTGGTAAGATGTTAGTATGAATTTTGTGTCAGGACTTCCACGCACCCCAAAGAAACATGATTTTATTGTTGTGATTGTCGATTGTTTCTCAAAAGTGGCTAATTTTATCCCCTGTAGTAAGACCTCAGATGCATCCAAGGTTGCCATGTTATTCTTTAATGAGATTGTCAAATTATATGGGCTTCCTAAAACCTTTGTGTCCGATAGGACTATTTGTTTCGCTAGCCATTTTTTGAGAACTTTGTGGCAAAAAATGGGGACCAAATTGAGATTTTCTACGGCCTACCACCCTCAGACATACGGTGAAATTGAAGTATTTAATCGTAGCCTTGGTAATTTATTACAATGTCTAGTCCGGGAAAATCTTCAGAATTGGGATTTGATCCTTCCTATAGCTTAAATTGCATATAATAGTTGTATGAATTGTTCATTAGGTATGAGCCCATTTGAAGCTGTTCATGGGTATAAGCCTAGGAAGCTGTTAGATATCATTCCTATGTCTCCACATGCTAGAGTGTCAGTGTCAGCCGAAGCATTTGCACAACATCTTCGTGATTTGCATATTGAGATCAATAAATAACTTGAAGCTAGTAATATAAAATATAATCTCCAAGCTGATTTGCATAAACGACTTGTTGAGTTTAACATTGGGGATTACATTATGGTCCGCATTAGGCCAGAGCAACGTCTACATGGACCCGTCTCCAAATTGTAAGCCCGTAGTGCTAGTCCTTTTAAAATTTTAAAGCAAGTTGGTCCAAATGCATATGTTGTTGACATTTCACCACACCTTGGTTACCACTCTACTTTCAATATTGAGGACCTAGTAGCTTATAAAGACCATTTCATTCCCTCAAAGGGTCATCCGTTACCTCTTTTTGTGGACTTTGATCCTAATTCTTTGATCCCTTCTAACCTCCTACCACCTCTCCCAATACATAAAGATAAAATTGATACTATTTTAGATGAAGAAACTATGTTAACTAATGATGGAAATGTTCAGCGCTTCCTTGTTCGTTGGGTTGGTCGATCAGATTCTGATTGTACATGGATCTCCAGAGAGATACTACAGCAATTGGATCCAGATTTATTGGAGCTTTATTGGAGTCAGCAGGATCTTTCTTGGCCCATATCGCCTCCCGTCCACCTAAGGGGAGTTGGTGAGGACACCGGATTCATACCTTCACTGACACATTTCTATAGACGCCAGAAGAAGCTTGCCCAACCACTCAGCTTATGGTTGGGAGATTAACTGCAGCCTATATTGATATATTCACTCGACAGGGTCGAATTTTCCTCCCACCCGGGAGAGTTGATGAGGACATCCAGTCTTTTTATTTATTTCTAGTCGGACCTTATTTCATTTTGGTATACTTTATTTTGTTGTGGATTTTTATTGGGTTTATATTGGCCCAAGCCCATTAGGGTTTTGGTTTACTATTTAAACTTACTTTTCCTTGTAATTTCGTTAGTTGATGAATGAATAATTATTTTAATGGTTTATGGCGATTTCTTGTCCTTCTTCTACTTCCTTCTATTTCTTCTATTAAATTCTTCTTCGTCCCCATTCTTCCTCATAATTTTCTTGTCATTATAGATCTGTTTTCATTTCAATTAATTGTTTCAGTTGGTCCTGCATCACTAAGGAGTTGCTTTTGAATATGTTCGAATATTTTTTGAAAGAGCTTTTTCTGATTAGAAGAACTTTCAGAAAAAATTGGCTTTAAAATAGCTTTCTCGAGAACCTCTTTTATAAAGGAGCATAAACAAAATAAAAAATAGAAATCCTGCACGTAATTTAGCCCTTATTTGACAACAATTATTTGAAAATTCTTTCTCTACATACTCATTTTCAACTACAATTGACACAATAAAATATATTTACGTAAACCCTAAATTTTATCTTACTTTTTAATCACACATTTTCCTAAAAATCATTATTCAAAACATTGATTTTCTCAAATAATGATTGTCCAATAGAGGCTAAACAATAAAATAGACAAAATTTTAGAATCGATATAGCCAAAGAGAAATTTGATGGAAGATGTAGATAATTGATAGTGCTTGGATTGTTCCCATTCCTTGATCAATAGTCTTCTAACCATGGCTGGTGTAGTTAATTTTTTAATGTACAAAATTTCATTTTTTTTATGTCATCGAACCTTATCAAACATGTCATAAATTAGTAGATCCTCAATTGAAAACTAAACAAAAGAGTGAAAAGTATCTTTAATTACATATTTTGATGGTATATTTAGGCCTGTTTGATGAAATTTTTCGTTTTTACTTTTTGTAGAAGTGGTTTATCATACTAAAATAATTTCATGATGAAGTTACGTTAGACAAGCTTGTTCTACAAGTTCTTCTAATAGACAAAACCTTCGACAAATTATTTAATTAGATTCAAAAATCTCTTAATCTTAGCCCTTGTTTGATTTCCATTTTTTGGTCACAAAAATGAAAAATATGACCGTTATCCATTACATCAAGCCACCATATTTGACTTTCTATCACTCGTGTAGGTCTCGTACCGATTATATTTTTCATTCTCATTCTTTCAAAAATGAGAATCAAACGGGATTTTAGAAACAGTTTTTGACATTTCAAAAACTTCACCATAGCGTGAATTTTGTTGCAAAAATTAGTTGGAATTATTACAAAGATCAGAATGAAAGGAGACTCTTGGCTTTCAGGTTCTTTAGTTTCAAATTCAAAAATAATTACACACACTATTCACTAGTATCATGTTTACTTATACAATACACGACAAATTTTCTAAGAGATGTAAAAAATAATAATAATAATAATAATAATAATAATAATAATAAATCTCTCTCACAAATACAGGTAGTTATAGCTCCAGTCAATGCAATTCTTGGTTGCTGGCCTGTTACATATGCTCGATCCAATTGCAAATCTTTGAATCTTCATGTCGTAACCTTTATTGACACGCACGATAAAAGTACTCGGCATTGTAATGAATCGTGTAGTCGATCCATATCGGTTCTTGGAGTACCAAAGCTGAACAATTTGTATGCAATTTGCAATAGGTTTTACGGGCGCCCAAGTCCTTTAGCTTCAGATCCTTTCATTATTCTAAGCCTTTTGCAAGAAATAACGAACATATCCCATGGAACATCTCCCACCAACATCCAATCCCCATCTTTGTCTTCATAAGTTGGTGCATATTCAGATCCATTAATGTACCCATCTCTCTCTGAGTACACACCTGAAATATATAATAAAAAGAAGTAAAAATCTCATCCCGACAATATTGCATCAGGACTTATGGTTTTATGAATCTTAAGAGGTTAATTCTATTAAGAAGAGTATAACAAGATGGTGGCTCATTTGAGCATACTAATCTTGAAATTCAAGTGTATGTTTTTTGGTCTTAATCAGATCAAATTGTTTGTTTGAGTTTGGTGAGCTCAGATCCTATATTCGCATTTAGGTTCATTTTAAAAGGTCAATTAAGAAAAAAAAAAAAAAGTAGTCAAAATTCTTATATATCTGTCTATATTTCGATAATTAGCTAATGATAAATTTATCCTTAAACATCTGCGTACAAAAATAGTTCGAAAAATTCGGGATTCTTACCCATAGAGCATTTGAACAAGTTCTCCACGGCCATGAGTAGATCTGGGTAGTTCTTGAAAACCTTAATATCAATCTTCCTCAAATAAGGAGCTCCATCCATACTCACTTTCACATACATTCCAAGCATATCGGAATCGGAACTCTTCTGCTGTTGCTGTAGAACATTTTTCCGGTAAGATCTCACCGGTGGCCACCCTACAACTTGTGCCCTAAAATCATGAATCACCATCAAAATACATACCCAAAAGATCTATTCATATACATGTATACACACACTTACTTTGGAGCAGTTGAACATGAATTATCCATTTCATTTGAAGATCTCTTGTTATTACTCTTCAAAATATCCCGGTCTGATGTCCCCGGTAACCCTAATCTCAATTCAGTTGCCTTCAGATCCATATCGTTCTCGTGCGCCATTTTCAACAATTGCAGATCTCTGAAACTTTTCCCGCGAGTTTTTCCTTTGGTCTTTTCAGTGGAGAATTCTCAAGTTGTGGAGAATCAAGAATGGTATATATGGAGAGAAGTTTTATAGGGAGATTAAAGACGGACAGTTTTTGGGTGATTAATTCTCTGTGTGCATGAAATCTCAATAACATCAAAATCAACGCTGATGAGTCATGAGTAATTTGTGGATGTGATGAAGACGCGATTACACGCGCGTATGAATAGTGGGACAGGAAATTTTAAGTACAGATATTTATGTTGGATAAATGCGTAACATCATTGAGGCTAATGTTTGTCTGTGGATGGACAAAGGTGGGACAATTGCAACCGCCAGATATTGAATGCTTGGAGTCAACGGTAGAGATTTGATCTTTACATAGAGTGGAGTGAGGTTACGTGCCAGTTTTAGGAGGGCTATATTTATATTTGATTATGTTCTCTGACTAAAAACTAACAATTTCCAACTTTAAAATTGGGTCAAACGTGAAATATTGTAAATTATTTAATATATATTTGGCTCACTTTTATAAAAATGTTTATAAACGTTGTTGATGTCAAAATTAACAAGAATGATTTTGAACCAATTTTAAGAAAAAAAGGGGATTTGTGTTTAGAAAATATCACAAAGATGTGATCATGTCATAAGTCGTTATCTCAATTCGTTCTACCTTTACAAGGGTCATATTCAATTATTTATACAAATTTCAGCCGAAATTATATCAAATCAATCAAATCAGAAACAGTGCTGAGCTCACAACTCAGATCGCTAAATTCTCCAATGATTGGTCAACGAGGCCGGTGGTCATATGCCAATGTATTGCCAAAGTAATTATGACCTGTAGGGGGCTGGAATTCGAGGACTTGGAATTGGTTATTCCGGGCGGTGATGACATCACCTGTGGCAAGTGTCTCTGATTGATAGGGTGATGTGACAATGGGTAATCATGGTGTTTTTCTAAGATAACGGTGGGTAACTTCGACCTGAGAGTGTGGGCCGAACTCACTTTTAATTGAGGTGAGGTTAGCGAACTGTTTTACCATATCGAAGTTCGGATATCAACAGTTACCCCCCAGGTCAGCCCTGCTGTAGGGGGGTGACCTCAATGATGCTTTCTCCAAGTAGTACATTTATGGCTGTGACAAGTGTCATCTTTAGAGGTGGATGAGCTGTACGCCACTTATAAATAGTTTATTCAGAAAGCTTTGGCCAAAACTACGTCGTTTTGTCTCCCAGAGTTTTGGACCGTTGATATTTTCCCTCTATTTTCGAATGAATGGCTCAGATCGCGCCCTCTCATCTTCCCTTTCTTAAAATCCGATTTTGGTCAATCATTTCTCTTCCTATTTCGCTGATTTTTACTCTCTTAGATATTTGGGCGATTTTCCTAAGTTCGTATTCCCATATTCGAGTGAGATCGTTTTCTCAGTTCGTTTTCCAGGTATCCTTCTGTCATTATTTGCTGCCTCCTTTCAGTTTGTGATTCTTTTCTTAGTTTATACATGAGTTCGGATGAGTCTAGAGTTCATTCCTGGGGCAACCAGCATGAAGAGTCTGTTTCCTCGGGTTCGTCCTCTAGTTGTAGGGAAGTTTTTACCCCCATTCCTATTTCTATAGTTAACCCAACTGACCTATAGCATCCTGTGATGGACTTAGGACGTGAGGGTTCCAAGGGAGCAGGGGGATCCGGTAAGGATGTTGAGAAGGGTATTTCCAGGGAGTGGGGGGCAAGTTCTTATAGGTCGGTTGTGACAGAGGATGTGTTGGCCAGCCGGCGAGCTAAATACGCCATCCCTAGTTTGGTAGTTATGATAATACCAGAGCCTACTGACACTCCTCCTAAGGGATGTGTTGCTCTGAACTCGGCTATCCTCCAGGCTGGCCTTAGGCTTTCTTTTCCTAGGGTGATCCGTAAATTCCTTTCTTCTTGGGGCATAGCTCCCACGCAGCTATGCCCTAACGGGTGGCGAACCTTAATAGCCACCCTTATTCTATGGGACCAAATGGGGAATCACGAGCTGAGTGTCTAGCAATTCGATTCTTTGTTTACTTTTAAGAAGGATGGGAAGAACTCGGGCTGGTGGTACGCAAGTGTTAGGCCCAGGACGGGAGGTTCTTTGGTGTTAGACACCCCTTCCTCAATTAAGAAATGGAAGGAAGAATGGTTTTACGTATCGGGGGAGTGGAAGTTTCATTCTGCCGAGGTGAATAGGGAGGACGTGGTTCCCAGGCTCTATCATTCGTTATGTAAGTGTCTTTTTGGGTTTTAGCCTTTTAGCAAGGCATATGTTTTACGAAGACTTTGGTATTTTTCTTTGTGCAGATTACAAGAAGGAGACGTTTACCAAAGACACTCAGAGAAGAGTTAAGAAAATAAGATCGTTACCTAAAAAGCAGAGGTCCTGTAAGTTTGTAATTTCAGATTCGAACTTATACCGGACCCGACTGCTGCAAGTACGAGCTTCAAGTTCGGCTCCCTCCAGCTCAAGTAATATTTTGATCTTCATTCGTGATTATAATTTCTTTATGCATATACATGTTTTCTTTTTGAGCATTTCATTTTCTCTCAGGTCATCAAGACGAAATACGGGGCTACAAGGCAACTGCTGCATCGAAGGGGAAAAAGAGAGAAGTTCCAGACCGGATGGAGAGCCGTTCTGAGGAAGTGGAGGAAGAGGTTCCATTAAAGAGGAATCGATCTGTATCCCTGGCATCACTGAGAATTCCGGAGGCAGTGCCTTTGCCGAGCCCGACCCTGCCGTCTCCCTCGTTGCCATCACTGGTTGCTCCTTCTGCTGTGAGGACCAGTTCTACGAACTTGAAGGATCGGTGCCCAGATCTACAAAAGTCGGGCTAGGAAAGTCTGGTGGAACACAGACCGGAGATATTTCTGGACTACCTCCGAGCTCCTTCTCCTCCCAGGGGCATGATTGACGCGCTCACTTTGCCTTTGAGGGAGTCGGCCAATTTACTTACCCGGAGCTGGGGTGAGATAGAGTAGGGCTATCTGAATGAGATGCCCATTGGCGAGGCTTTAGTCACTGCTCAGCTCCATGGCCACCGATCAGTTTTGTACATGATGGCAGTGGCGGATAAGGTATAACTCTTACTTGTTTGTTTGTTTGTTTTTTTAATAAATGCCTTAATGACTTGCTTGATTTTTGATTTCTAAAAACAGGTGAAGTCCGAGCTGGATAAACTCATAGAGGCCAAAGATTAGGCCTTCAACCTTTATAATAGCATAGAGGTTGAAAAGGCCCAGTTTGCTTTGCGGGAGAAGGAGTACGAGGAGAAGATGAACCAGATGGAAATTGAGCTGAACTCCAGGCTTGATGTCAAGGAGCGACTGATGGAGGAGATCAAGGTGTTGAGGGCCTCAGAGGAAGAGGTCAGAGCTTGGGCAGAAGAGGAGCACGGCAAAGTTAGAGAGGCCATCTAGAAGGTTCAGAAGGCCAATGAAAGAGCAAGGCAGGCCACAAAAAGGGTTAAAGAGGCTGAGGCCAAGATCGACAGGGCGGTGGAGGCCTAGAAGGAGTCCTCCGAGTTTGATGTGGTGGCCCAGGATGTGTACGTTGTGGCCCTGGAGGAGTTGATAGGGCACATCAAGAAAGAGAGGCTTGATCTTGTTGTGGCCTTTCTGGATGAGACACTGGAGGGGCAGAATGAGGAGTTGCGGAAGTTATCGGAGTCTATCGGAGTCCGGGTGTTACCGGAAACTCAGAATGTTGGAGATACCACCCCTGTCCCCCAAGACCCTTAGTTTTGACTTATGATTCAAACTTCGTTTTGACTTATTTATGATGTTTTAATTTGAAATGGATAATTTGTTTATGTTCAATACGACTTTTTCTCACAAACTTAGCAAAACTTGTCAGAGTGTTACAATATTGTGTAGAATTACTTTAAATGAATTTCGCTTAGTTGTGCAGTACGCGCTTTCCGAATTAGGCATATATGTTGGGCATTTGTACCAAGTGCCACAGAACGTACGACCTTAGATCGGCATGTATATGAGGCAGGGCTTAATGAGGTTCCTTAGGAGGAATCTTCCACTAAGTGTCGCAGTACATACAACTTTAGATCGGCCTGCATATGAGGTAGGGCTTGATGAGGTTCCTTAGGAGGAATCTTCCACTAAGTGTCGCAGTACATTCGACCTTAGATCGGCCTGCATATGAGGCAGGGCTTAATGAGGTTCCTTAGGAGGAATCTTCCACTAAGTGTCGCAGCACATACGACCTTAGATCGGTCTGCATATGAGGCAGGGCTTAATGAGGTTCCTTAGGAGGAATCTTCCACTAAGTGTCGCAGCACATACGACCTTAGATCGGCCTGCATATGAGGCAGGGCTTAATGAGATTCTGACAGGTTGCTGAGCAAAAATGGTCAAATGAAATAGAAAGTCCCTTTTTATTGATATGATTGACGTTACAAGGGGGCTTTTTCCATTTACTGGTAGTACTGCTTAAGGTGTTCGGCATTCCAAGGGTGGGGTAAGGATCTGCCCTCCAAGTCTTCCAGTTCATATGCCCCTTTTAGCAGGACCTTCGTTATCAGATAGGGACCTTCCCAATTCGGACCTAGGCATTCACTGCCAATCTCTCTTGTGGGGAGGAATACTTTCCGTAAGACGAGGGATCCTGCCTCAAATTCTTTTTTTCGCACTTTTTGATTATAGTACTTGGCGTTTCACTATTTGTAAACGGCGTTTTTGAGTTCGACGTTGTTCCTTTTTTCCTCGGTTAGGTCGAGCTCCGTGCGAAGAGCCATGTGGTTCCTTTCTTCGTCGTAATCAATTATGCGTAGTGAAGGAATGTGGATTTCCAGCGGGATCACGGCCTCTACATCGAAAGCTATTGAAAATGGGGTTTCTCCAGTGCTTGTTCTTGCGGTAGTTCGATAAGACCATAACACACTAAGGAGTTCCTTAGCCCATCCTCATTTTAACAAGACAAGTTTTGCTTTCAATGTGTGCTTAATAATCTTGTTAATGGCTTCGACTTGGCCGTTTGCCTGTGGATGGTTTGGTGATGAGAAATGTTTCTTGATGCCAAGCTCTTCGCAGAAATTCGAAAGTCGTGCGTTGTCGAACTGTTTTCCATTATCTATAATAATGGAGTGGTATGCCGAACT